ATAAAGAATATATTAAAAAATATTAAAGAATATATTTCTATTTTAATATATTTTGCAAGAATTTTCATTATGCATTTTTTTTACTTCTGATGTCATCACTCTAAAGATCCGTGGTGAATGGATCGAGTCTTAAATAATAGTTATCTTTAATTTTTCCTTTTACTTTGTTAATATTATTTTTGTATTTTTATATAGAGTTAAATGAGTCTTACGATTGTTGCATCTAGTTCTTATGAAATCCAAATAACTTAAACATGATACGTACTTACATAAAAAAAAAATAAAGAAAGTAACGATCGCACTAATCGCAAAGAGATTAAATCCAAGATTTTATCATCCTTTATCGATGATATCAAGAAAGAATCCATCAAAATGATTAGATTATTCTCGTTCTCTACGGTAACGCCGCATCGCGGATGAAAATATTCCGTATGTCTTGTTAAATTATTCTACATTTATTCTACAATTGTGTAAGCATAAGTTATAAATAGTTGTGGTTGTAAGAATTGATCAATCACATCGAATATGAAGAGAATATTTGACTAATTTGTAGAATGGGCTTTACGCAAATCAAAGCGCGGGAACATGCATTTATGAACAATGTAGGCCGCGTCTTGATCTATGCCGTCGTCGACGGTCAGTAATTCGCATCCCGTGGCTAATCATGAGAGATTTACGGCTAACCTGCGACGGAGGCAGCGCGTCGACGCCGCCTCTTCCCCGCAAGACAGTACTTCTACATCGAGAAGGCATGCAAGATTCCGCGTGCAATTACAGACGCGGCCTGTGCTTCACCATCGTAGTAAGCGCGCATGCGCGTACACTCGCTTCCTCTTCCAATGAGAATGCGCGCGCGCGATCTCCTCGTTATCCACCGCTATAAATCGCCCCCGTTGTGATATTTTTATTTACGCGCCGTTTCTAATCCCCCGGACACCATATGGAGGCTGTACCTCGCTTCAGCTCTCTTTTTTCCTCTCTCTGTCCCATTGTACGTAAACCGAAACCGACTCTCTCGAGACTTTTATCGAGCGCTGCGCTTATCAAGCTACCGCTGCTGCCTCGTGACACTTGCGTTGATTATTGAGACAATTTCGAATCCTCGAGGATACATCAGGATTTTCGATTTCTTTTATACAGCAATAATACCCTTCTTCCGAAAATTCTCTCTCAAAAAGCTTCAGAAAATTTGAGAAGATTCAATTTTGAAGACAGAGTTAAGGAATTTTATAGAAAAATCATATTTTATTAAATTATTTTTTTAAATGTTCAATTCTAGTGATGATTTTTTTACCGCAGAATGTATAAAAGGAAATCATATCAAAACCTGATTATTTTTATGAAAACTTTGTGAGAGATTGTCATTCACATTATCATTTGCCTTCAATCGAATATTTTGATAAATCTTAAACTCAATTTTTCAAGAAAATGGTTCTAAAATTAATTAAAAAATAAAGTTTCTATTTATCGTTTATTTATATATTTCAAAAATAAAAAAGAAAAAGAAACTTGATTTTTTATAAATCTTAAAAATTCGATTAACTCTACTCGATATTCACTCCGAAATTTCTTTAACTGATATTTAATTTTACTTAAAATTAACGAAACTAAATGATTTTTTTATTTTGAAGATCAAAATCCGAGAAATAAGATGATTTAATTTTAAATTATGTAAGATTATGAAATGTTTGTTATAAACAATTTGTCGTAATGTAATTAAAGAAAATGTTTAGTTCACTAAACTTGCGAATACTGATTAAGATTAAATATCTACATAATTTTTTTGCATAATTTTGATTTTTTTTTTATATTTTCAGCATTTCTGAAAACATTTTTGTTCAGTAATTAGTTCTTATATTATATTGATTATTGCTTATAATATTATTAACAAGAAATTTTATTCCAAAGTAAAATTTGCCCTATTCTTTTTCGTTTTCTATTTGATCGTATTATTTGAAATTATAATTGTATAATTTTCCTATCATAACTCTCCCTAAATCTAATTGATAAAAATTCATCTATCTTTCCATCATAGACTTTACAGCTAAAATAACATTCAAGAGACATGATTTCAAGACACCCTATATATAACTAGAGGGTTGCGAAGAGGGTGGTAGCGACATGGAGGCGGCTGTGGAGGGAGGCAGGCGTCGCGGTGGTGGTTCCGGTACGGCCGTGATGGCGGTGGCGACGTCGACGTCAGGGCGCCTGCGTGAGCGGCGGTGATGATGACGACGACGTAGACGACGTTGACGACGACGACAACGTCCACGAGGAGGAGGACGATCAGCGTCGAAGTACGGTGAGACGTACACGGCACGACTGACTGCCGGACGAAGATCGTCGAGTGCGCACGGCTTCACGCGCTGCACGACGATACTTATATCCAAACGGGCTGTGGCATGCCCCGACCCGCGGCGCGGCCGCAGTGCTCCAAAAGTCGGCACGACGCACGAATCGCACTGCTGCGGCGCGCGCGCGCGCGAGAAGCATACACGACGACGACGACGACGACGACGTCGACGCAGCAGCAGAAGCAGCAGCAACAGCAACAGCAGCAGCAGCAGCAGGATCAGCAACAGCAGCAGCAGAGGAGAGACCAGAAAGTCGCGTCGTCAAAACGCGCTCTGCTGGCTGGAGTTTTCCGGACCTCCTCCTCTTCCTCTTCCTCCTTCTCCTCCTCCTTGCACCTCCACCAGCCCTCCTCTGTCGCTCTTCCGTTCCTTTCGAGCTCGAGCGTGGTCGACGGAGGCGCGAGGGCGTACGCGCGACGGAGGAAACGCAGAGACTACTAGATAGACAACGGTGAAACAAGTGCCGCGCCGAGGGAAAATAGGGAAAATATGCGAGCCGACCGGGAGGAGGCAACGATAGACCATCGTACCTCGTAGAAGAGCTAGAGAGGTGGGAGAGACCGACGTACGTGTGCGGTCAGAGGTGGTGCACGATACCGCGTGTAGGCGGGGAGATCGTCGGCGGAGGTGTGGAAGAGAGCTGGCCCCTCAAGTTACCGCGCCGCGCACGAGCCGCGATTACCGCGCAGTGTGCAAATCCGCTCCGTTCCGTTCCGCTCCGATTATCGTCCGGGTGGAGAGACCTGAGACCACGTCGCGAGTGCGATGCAGTGGTAGTAACCCTGACCTGACCCCCCCGCATACGACACACGTTACGTTCCTTTCGGGCGCGGGCTCGCCGCGCGCTCCGCGTAGTCTGCGTATCGTCACATTCGTCACAGTGTCCACGCGAGGCTCACGGTGTGCGCGCGCGTGTGCAATAAACCACATCGACGAGCTCCGTCCGTGCTGAGCGTCAGCGTACCTCACGTATGTAAAACGGAGCTTATCGGTGATCGATCGATCGCGCGCGTGCGACAGACGATTCGCCGCGACGCGGATACGCGGAATACGTGGGATACGCGGAACAATCGGCGGCGATCGGCAACAGCGATACATCGTCGAGGGAGTAGCGCACGACGATTGTCAGTTCCGCGAGTGCGAATCCTATCTCGAATCGTCCTCGAAATCAGCCACTTTCCTTCACTCGCCCGCGCCGCCCCACCGCGCCACCCGGGGGAAAACTGCGAGTCGAGTGTGACAACCGCGAAGTCGCTGGCGATCGCCACGCGAAGGACGTGAATCGGTTTCGCTTCGTGGGGCCGTGAAACGGGGTGGTGAAACGTATCGCGTATACACTATATACACGTTCTTCCCTCCCGCCCTCTTCCCTCCCGTCCTCTAACGCCTCCGCCTCCGCCTCCACCTCCGCGATACGATCCGCGGAGCGACCTCGTATCCGTAGTCGCGTGTGTGTGATAGTGGCAAGCAAAAGGTCGCGCGCGCTGCGCTGCGTATTTGGGAGGATTCCAAGTGGTCCAGCAGTGTGTATCCCCGCCGAGTGGATCGAAATTATGTTCGCCAGGGGATAGCCCGCGAACGAAACGCGCACACGACAAACGAGAGTGGTATTCGGGGCGAGCGAGCGATCGAACGCGGGGGAGGCAAGAGGAAGCTAGGAAGGAGGCAGTTTCGAACGAGCAGCGCTTCGCGTAGAAGCGTCGCGACGACAATGACAACGCGCGTCACCGAGTGAGCTTGGCTCCCCGACAACCAAGAGGATGCCACGGAGACAGGGTCGCTGCCGAATCGTACCGGGGCGACACGGCATCAGTGAGATCTAGAGAAACGTTTCCTGAGGAGCGAGTGGAGCAATCGGAGGACGAGGAAGAAACGAAAACGAGATTATATACATGCCTTAAGTCCGAAAAAAATAGATCGAAGCATGGTATAGAAGGTGAGAAATCAAGAAAGAGTAAAAGTTAAAGAAAGAAAGAGAGAACAGCGGAAGCAAAGAGCGAAAGACAGAACGAGGAAGTTGTCAACGTGATAAGGAGGATCACAGTCTTTCGGTTTCCGAAGCTCCTCTCCGTGGGTGTTTTTACGCGTGCGGCCGTGGATCGATAGTTTGTCTCGCACGCTCGTGTCGAACAGGAGTTGTGAGTTACGACGGCGAATTACGTGGAGGACGCGATCGCGAGCGGTCCTCTTTCGTTCGACAACAACGACACCCTCGAGCCGCGAATAAACGAGGCCCGTGGGAAACGAGAAGCAAGTTTCCAAAGGGGCCTAGCTGGTGAGTGCTGGTTATCGCGACAGTCATCAACGTTGCAAAAACGCTCGGCGATTGCAAGCTCCGCGGTGATTTATGGGGGATTACGGCACAACGAGCCTCTTCTCGAGTACCCTGACCAGCCCGAAACCTAGTACGACAAGCAACATCAGCAGCGCCGCCGTCACCATAACGACATCCACGATGCAGGACGATCTACTGATCGAAAAACAAACTACCGGCAAGCCCGCTCCGCTCTCACCGAGTGGTGGTCTCGACACCGTGGCTGGACAGGACAAATCGAAGGACGTAATCGAGGCGGAGAACATCGCCATTACCCCGACGACGCCCTCGTCGACAGAGAAAGACATCACATGCAGCACGACATCAGCTTTGCAGGGCTTCGCTGATCCCGGTGGCCGTGTACCCAGCCTCTGGTCCGCACCCGATGACGGCGGTCTGCACACCGCGTTACCAGTCAATGGTTCGATCGCTGCCTTTCAGAATTTCCCAGCCGGTGGACCTGCGGGTCTTTTCACCAGCACCGGTGCCGCCGCCGTTTCGACCGGCACACGACGTGCCATTACGGCTAGTCACAATTTTCCGCAGCAGCAACAACAGCACGGTAACGCGGGTGCGCCCACCGGCACTAGACACGGCGGTCTGCAGGTGTCGTCCGCGCAGCAGCAGCAACAGCAACAGCAGCAACAACAACAACAACAGCAGCATCAACAGCAGCAGCAACAACCTCCACCGACGTCACACCCAAGCGTCTATCTGCCTGGCAAGGGATACGCCGCGTGGTCAGGCGGACCGCAGGCTCCGCAACAATGGGGTGCGGGCCCGCAAGCGGCTGCCGCAGTCGCCAGTCCGGGCCTTTCTCCGTGGAACCGCGGTAGATCAGTACCTAATATACCACCGCTGCACTCGTCTTTACACGCCGCCGCAGCGGTTGCGGCCGCAGCCGGACTGCAGGGTCGCAAGCCGAGTCCGACGTTCCCGGGCCATCCAGGTCCGGCAGCGGCACATCCCTCTTGTATCAGTCCGGTCAAGTTCCGTCGAAGCACGTCGTATCCCGGCAAGGGTAACATATATCCACCTCAACCAGCACCAACCTTCGAGGTAACCGCCGCCGAGGAGAGGGATCTGCTGCAGCTGCCACCGTTTCAGCAAGTGAGTCTTCCAATTCTTTCTTGAAGTTTTACGGTTAAGTCGTGTTCAGAAACTTCAGTCGATTATAATCAGATATCATTTTACCCTTGTTTGTTTTGTAAAAATATTAATCGAATATTAAACAAGGATCAAATAATATTTGAATGCATCCGAGTGAAATTGTTGAATGCTACCCTATTTATAGTTCTTTCGGTTTTTATCCAAGATCATCGTAAGTAACATCTCAAGATGTTAATAGCCCTGATTAGCTTGTGGATTGTCTTAAGACAATCTTAAATATAAGATGAATATCATCCTACATGAAATTTAGCTACATGAAGCTGGGCTAACGCGTAGAAGTTATGCTGATCTAACCCACTTTTCTACACAACTTTAGGAAATGAATGCGAGAGTTGAGATTTAATTTAATTGGTGGGATATCTGATTTTTGCAACTTTAAAATTGATCCTCAAGTTTCAAACAAGTAAACTGGAGCATTGCCGCATCGAACACTTCGATTTATTTATCTCCGGAATGAATCACGCTTTTAAAATGAAGCACTTTTGTGAAGACGAATAGCACCATTTGGTTGAATGCCAGGTTTTCCGAGAGGGATTTTTAACTAACCGATTTTCTACCTTATCTATGTGAAAAATCAATCACCTCTGATTGGTCTAATGGATAAGTAAAATCAACACCGCTGATGTTATCATTATCGAGTAAATTAGCAATTCGTTTTCGTATAAAAATATCACGTTATTAGTGACGTGCTGATAATTACGCTCACACAGCCGTCAACTAGATTGCGTTCTTTTCTCTACGCTATTCGATTGGTTGCACAGATCACGGGTAAAAGAAGGGGAACTCGGGATGACCGCCGTTTGTTGTTTTACTCGACTCGCGGGCACCGATGGCACGGACTCGTTGCCTCGACTTTTTTTCACAGCCGAGTGGCATCACGTTATCGATCGCGGTTGAAGCAGGTAGTATAGCCAAGGGTACTCGCTTGTAAAATTGCGCCGGCAATCATGCGGTCTCTTAGGCCGTTGTGGAAGGTAACGCGCTATGCTTCTACTTCCGCAGTTTCGCGTTCTTTTGGTACGCCACGATATCGTATCGCATGCATTCGTGTCACTTCAGGTTATGCAACTGCTCCTCGAGAACGAGAGAGAGAGAGAGAGAGAGAGAGAGAGAGAGAGAGAGACTTTGTGCATTTAAATTTAGCCGGCACAACGGCTGTTTCGGTAGTTGCATGTAGCCGTGACATCGTCGTTTTTAACGACGCGATAATGTCGTACCGGACCTAAGTCGTAAATGTACATAACATGCCGCCGTAGAGACCCTAGCCGGATTTACATAGGACGCAAAACGCGTGGCGTATTTTCGCTTACGCAGAACGCAAGACGCGAAAGTTAAAGTTTATCTAATTTCAGTACGTCCTGCGTTCTACGTCCTACAGCTTATTTTTATTACCTGAAATACATCACATGCGTCTAATTTTGCGACCTGCGACCTGCGTTTTGCATTCTATGTAAATCTGGCATATACTCAGGAAAAAATTTCTTCAATTAAAAAAAAATTTGTTTGAATTAAAGAAATTTGTGCATTACTATACGGTTAAAGAATAATTTCTTTGATTTGAACATCATTTATCTTTATATGATTGTTGTTACTATTTTGATTTTGTATGTTATTTACGTAATTTGATATTATTATCCATGCTCTCAAAAAAAAATTATTATTAAACTATTATTAAGTATTATTTTTTTAAATTAAGTAAATTTTTATTTTCCTCACAGATATTTTTCTCGGTATTTTCATTTTAAATGAACAACTTAAAAAAAAATCAAGAAATGATTTCTTCGATCTAAACATAACTTTTCTCTGGATGTAATAGTGTCTATCACAATCACAAGCAATTTTTTTATAATCCTACGAGAGAGAAATATATATATATATATATATATATATAAATTTTTCCCTTATGTATGTACTATCTTATTCTAACTTGTACTATCTCACTGTAACTTATATGCTTTCACTCTATAACTTTAATTAATAGAGATTATAGAGTAAGACAGTATAAGTTAGAGTAAGTAGTATATGTATACGTATACTGTACAGAAAGAAAAAATTACAGAAGGAATTATATACAGAAGGAATTATAAACGAAGGATTTTCACAAAATTCTTTGTGGTCAAACTTTGATAATAGAATCTTTAATACTACATGCCGCAATGGCATTTATGGCTTGCGTTTTCCGTCCACGAGGGAATTTTACGTGGTAGAATACGGGTTATCTCTCACCGCGCGGCATTCTCGTCATTTCGCATATCTAGCCATGTGATAACGATATCTCATGTACGCTAAGTGCTAAGGAAACTTACAGGTCGAAGCCATATATCGAAAGTGTTCTGAGAGTCTTTCACTTTTCGGTATAATCTCCGTAACACGTTACGTTCTGCACATGTGCCATCATTGAATAGCGAGTATATATAGAAATAGAAAAGGAATAGATAATAGAATGAATGGCGTGCGATGAAAATACAGGTCAGCGTTTTCCTCGATTATATATTTTTCCATACCTTCGTTCCATTTTCACGTCCGGCGTACAATGATGTTATATTAAATTTAATACGATATTGATCTTAAAGCTAGAATTATATATATTTTGTGATATAGTTAACAAATGAATAAATAATCTCGTTAATATTATTCTGATTTCGAATGACTATGAAGCTTAATTTAAATAAATTTAATACAGGATTGTTACGAAATACTGTTGATATATTCTTATTGGGTAAAATTTATTTATCGTTATCACTTTTATTTATTGCTCTTTGTGACAGATCTTTTTACATTCCATTCGAGATAGTAATTTTCCGTTACAATTTTACGGATTGCAAAATAACAGTTAAATAAAGAGAGTCGAAATTAATTCACAAAGTGTTGTCTTTATTAAATTATTCAAAAATTATATTCTTTGAAGCTATTAAGTATATACATAGAATATAACTTTTCATTTTGATTGCATTTGAAATTATTAAAAAACGAAAATGTTTGCTTTATCATAATTATCAAATTACCAAAAATAATGGTAATAGAGCGTGAAAAAAAGACACAAATATTCTTATTTAAAAATACATAATCATTACCCTTAAGACATCATTTCTGGACAAGTACCTGTACCTTTCCTACGGTAGATAAGAGTTATCGAGATTGTCATTAATAATCGATTTCACTTATTTTTTGTTATCTATCAGCGCTATCTGAAACTACTCTGCTGATACTTATTTCGTTCAAGTCTGACCTAATTCCTTTTCAACGTGGTAACTCCGACAGTGTCTAGCAGAAGTTTAAGCTCAGCTATTTTAACCACCACTCAAAAATAGATCTGCATACTATCCGAGAGAAATGGCGGGTGTCGTCATGCTGTCGTTCAGCTATCATCTCCGCGCGTACCTGGTCTCAACATTTATATATTTATACATGGTACATCGCTTTCCTTTTCATCGCGACTTCTTAATCATGCCAAATAATGATGCTTATTGTAGAGAATCGTGAAAAAAAAAACAACTACAATATTTGAAGAATATGTACCATTATAATAAAAAACGTCGATAATATTATACTGTAAATGCACCAAAGTATAATATAAATTAGTTTTAAATTAAAGTATGGTATAATATAAATTTTTAAATTAAAGAAATTCCGAGATGTCTTTGCTGATGAAATATTTTAAAATTGCATATATTTTAATATGTCTGTAAACACTAATTCACTAATTAATTGGATTAATCAGATTTTATAAATTACATGTTTCATGTAATTTTCTTATCAAGATTCTACTTTTATTAGTTGAACAAGCTTGTTTCGACATTTCCGTTTTTTTTTAACAATTAAAATATTGATTGCCTTTAAATTCAATTTATTTTTACTTTTTTAATCGTTACACAAAAATTTGACATTTCGTTAGATTTATATTAATAGACATTATTACATGATTATTAAGGAACGAACAGGCATGAACGTCGCATGCAGTATAAGACAATTATCCATATCAATAGCCTTAACATCGTTGATTTGACTGTACGTCGCTGAGAATAATTAGCTCGTACACAAACAAGTCGTGAATATGACCTGCATACCCCGATTCAATTAAATATTACCTTCAAATTACAATATGATCTATGCTTCTCCACAGTTTTTAAAAAATTTTAATTACTATATAAAGACTATAATTTATCTTATGGAATTTCATAGAAGACTAATTAAAAGCTTGAAAGAAATATTACGGAAGATTTCTTTCGTGTATGACATTTTATTTATATATCTTTTAAAAGAATTTCTTTTCTAGTTTTTTTTCTAGTTTTAAATCTCTTTAAGATTTATAAAGAAAATTGGAATGTTAGCTTTACGATTTATATGAAATACAATTCCTATTTATAAACAAATTCGAATGAAATATATAACTAAAACATTTGATATCGACTATGAAACAGTACGATCATAACCAATAATAATAGATATTAAGAGATAATAATAGATATTAGAAGAAAACACGAGGAAAAAAATACCGTCGCTCTTTCGTCGATTTTTCGATTTTTCGCCATGATTTTTCTCAATTTGCTTTGCGATATGATTGTGTATTCGAGCGGTCGATGAATAATATACGGGCATAAGTGTGTCGCGGATTAGAAGTCGCGCGCGCACGCGCGCAGGTAATGCGGCAAAAGCGTCTAACAGAGCGAAGAAATGCCTGAGCTCGAAGTCCGATAACTCATTGCTCGTCATTCACCTTGAGAGGGGAATCGGGGCACGTACAGTAGGTCGCCTAGCCGATATGTTAGGAGGACCAATCGCCAGTGGATACCGATCGCGCGTGTATGCGTGCGTGCATCCATCCGCCCCCACGATCGTAGCTACGCTTGTGTCGGTGATCACATCGAGAAAAAAAAATCGTGATGGATATGCGTATAGAGATAACGATTTTTTTACTACGCCGTCGCAGTTGCGCTCAC